GTTGGGATTGTTTGGTTTTGGCCACTCTGCCAGGCTCAAAAGAAGCCCTCCTAGAGGCAGAAGGGGTCTCTCTGACTGTCGGCTGAGATAGATATGCTGTTGAAAGAGATGTGCTTCCAAGAGAGAGACACAACAGATACTGCTGAGAGAGAGATGTGCTACTGAGAGAGACAGCTAGCTTCTGACAGAGACAGCCAGCTGCTGAGAGAAACAGCCAGCTGCTGCAAGAGACAGCCAAATGCTGAGTGAGACAGCCAGCTGAGAGAGACTGAGCACATTTCTGAACTTGAACTGTAGACTGCTGCTTCCCTAATAAACCCCATAATCTGTGAGTGGTGTCTTCATGGCCAACTCAACAAATTGTTGAGCCCAGCAAAGAGGTAATGAGTGCCATGGGAGGGACAGCTGGTGTCAGGGTTGGTTAAAGGGCCAGAGGGAGGCAGCATGGCCTCGCAGGAATAGGCCTTGGGCTGCTGATAGTGATTCTGTCCTCTTCTTTTGAGGTTAGAGGGGGTCAGAAGATGGGGCCTCCTTGCCCCTTTTGCAGCACATAAAAAATTGTTTAACTGGCACTAAGAGATATAAAGAAAAAGATGTCATAGGTAAAGTGAGTAGCAGTAAAGATAAGTACATCATTTAGAAACATTGGAGATAGGCCTGCTGTTTCCAGAATTCAAAATTCTGGGGGTCAGCTGTATTGTAAAATTAACAATTTTTTGTATTTTAGAAAGCTAACATTGTCAATGGATCTATATTGCATAACATCCCCAAGAAAGGTCTATCAATCAAACACATTCATATTTCTGCCGTTAGGAAGAAGGCTATTCACACTATGCAGGATAAATAAAGATTACAATAAATGGCCTCATGTCATTTCAAAGCTTTCTATTATCAGAGTTTTGGGGTTTGGGCAGTGTAGCTAAGGAATTAGGGGCCTATAACTGTGAATGGCCAAATTACTTAGGCCAGTTGCAATTTATATAAAGTATTTCCTTTGAAATCTACTAAAGCTTCACATATCATGTCATACTAATAATAGTACTCCGTGTGCAAGTGTAATCAGCTTTCACTGGTCTAGAATTCCACTAACTGACAACAATGTCTATACAGAACATGACTGGCAGGTAAGACAAGAGCATGGTAAACAGCCTCTGGGCACTACACAGGGCACAATGGCCACACACTAGCTCGTTCCATTATTCACAGCAGATAATACCTTACTTTCTGAACTCAACACAGAGACAAGCCATTAAGTGGAACCACAGACAGATACAAGAGGCAAGTATACACAGCAGTCACTGTCAATATCAAAGAAAAAAATGAAACTATTCTTTAATCAAAGAAGGTAAGAGGCTGACTGTGAAGTCAAAAAGGCTTAGCTTCCAATCCCAGCTCCACCAGTCCGAGCTGTGTGATCTCAGGTAATTACTTAACTTCTCTGTACTTCAGTGTCACATCTGGTGTGGATGAAGAAGCACTGCCTGCCTTAGAGGTGTTGTGAGGACTGAATGAGATAATGCATGTGATGTGCTTAGCTAGCACACTGCTTGACAGAGAGAAGACCCTCAAAAATACTTACCTAAAAGTAAGGCAAAAAATCCCTCAATGCACAGCAGCCTGAATGAATTTACCACCAATTCTTCAGAGGATGAAAAACATTTTCAAATTTTAATGCAAAAAAGGACCACTTTGACTACTGTAATCCCTGGGCATGCAAATGGTTAACATGCTCAGCTGCTAACAAGAAGGTTGGCAGTTCAAGTCCAACCAGACACGCTGTGGAACTTCTGAGGCCTGCCAATCTCCTTCCAAAAAATCAGCTGTTGAAAACCCTGAAGAACGTATTTCTACTCTGAAACACATGGGGCTGCCATGAGTCAGGGTCAAAAACATGCCTACTGATTTTGGCTGTGCTATGTGACTTTGAACATGTCATTTAACTTAACTTAAAAGCATGAGATTAGACCATGTATTCTTAACAGAGGTGATAAGTAGTTCTTGGGAGTGTGGGGGTGGGAAAAAAAGCATTCTATTTATATAAAAGTGCAGATAAACATATAATACAGAAACAAATATACAGTATGCCCATGGAATCAAAACTCTGTGGGGGCTAGTAGATAATTAAAAAGGCTCTTTAACCAACCAAAACCAAACCCACTGCTGTCGAGTCAATTTCCGCTCATAGCGACCCTACAGCACAGAGCAGAGCTGCCCCACAGAGTTTCCGAGACTAGAAATCTTTATGGAAGCAAACCACCACATCTTTCCGCCACAGAAAGTTTCTTTAGGAAAGCAGTAATGAAAATAATGAACTCTGGATTGGATGCCCTGTAAGTCCCAAGGAGCACTGTGGCTCTAACAATGAAGCGCTCCGTTGCAAACCGAAAAGTTGTGGTTCAGACGTTCCCATGTGGTGGCTCCGTGGAAGAAAGATCTAGCAATCTGTTCCTGTAAAGGTTACAGCCAAGAAAACTCCACGGGAGAGTTCCACTCTGTCACATGGATGACTGTGAGTCAGAGTTGACTTGACAGCACATAACAATTTTATACTGGCAACAATAATCTCAATTTTTCACGGAAAGTTTAATATAGGTTCACATACTTAGAGAAGACAAGGAAAGATTTGTGTATTAGAGAGATCTCCATTTAGAACAGTTAAAAATGATAAATATCATTGTGTTTAAAAGAGAACACTAAGCTATCGCTCTTGAAGGGAACTGAAGAGTGGCAGTTCTGTTGTGTTTTCTCTGCTTTGTAGATAACAATACACCTAGACGTCCCTGGAGATCATGTCTCTTTATTAGTACAATTACTTATTTCCAAAAAAGGCAGGAAGAAAAAGAATAAGGAGAACTACCTATAACTAAAAAAAAAAAAAAAAAGGATTTTTTTTTTTGATGGTTGTCATATCTATGATCAATGAAAGATCACTTTGGAATATAATTCATTTTTAATTGTCTCTTCCACCTAATCTAACTACTGCTGTAGGCTGTCTTAAAATATTTACAAAGTAAGAGCAAAAAAAGAATTGGAGGTACTAAATAAAGCAGGCCACCATTCCTAAGTGATCAATTTCTCTGGAATTGTTTACAACAAAAACAAAGTTGTTAATAACTTTGACACATGGAATTTTTAGAAACAGATACAATATGATTAAAGACCATCTCTCTTAGCATTACAGATGCTTTTCATTCACCTTCTTCCCTGCCTTAGTTATGGAAGACTTAAACTGTATCCAAATAACCTGGCACAGCAAAAGAAAAAAGTTGTATTAAACTGGTAAAAAGATCAGTATTATAGCGATTCAGCTTTAACCACATATTATACTTGCTTCTGCGATCTTATACCCCCTCCTATCCTTGTATCTCTAGCAACACATTCACACTCACACATCACTCTTATAATTCTCCTCTTTGAGTTTTAAAAGAACCTATTCTAGATGTTAACTAGAAATAACATTTTAAAAAAATGTATAAAACATCTCCACACCAAACTATTACTAAATGTTTAGTCATACTTGATAACCAGTAATATACATCAAAGTGTTCTAATATTATCCATTTTATTCATTGCAAAATAAACATGCTTTGAAATCAAATTAGCTTTCAGGCAGTTGCATTTAAATATATAAATATGTGTATGAAACCTAATTTCACTTAGACACAGGCATTCCCAGTACTACTTGTGAAGTAAACACTTTTTACTGATGATGAATATAAATATGCAAACTTATAGAGATGTTGTTTACAGTTTCTAAATCCTAGGTGTACAAATGACAGTAAAATCTGTCTTATAAATACATGCACTATTTTAAACCATTCCAAATAGACTGACAAGAGAGAATAAACTACTCAAAGCCCTATATACACATAGCACATTTTAGGAGTATTGGATCGAATTTTGTCTGATCATCAGCTGAAATGTCCCAGCCAAATAGCATACTATTATACATTAGGGATAATGCATCCACAAAGGCCTAAGGGTTCCTTACCATCAGACTACTCCCAAAAGGATTCTAGGAAACACTGAGAAATTCACAACAAAATGATAAATGGCAAGGTTTAGACATCTTCTAAGAAAAATGAATTCCAAGAAATTCCACACCAGTAGATACTGTATAAATATACATTACATACTAGGTATGTGTGGTGTAGTAAATTACTTAGTGTGGCTTTTCAACCAAGTCTTTGTAAACTCCAAGGTGGGATTTTCTATGAGCAACTGAGGAGCTCCTGATTGCTGAAGTTGTTCACCTGGAGTATTTCTGTTGGGAGTGGCACAAAACAATGTTCTGGGAGGTGCCCACTCCCTTTCAAGTGCTTAGAGTTCTGATGCTATGATTGGCTAGTTTGACCACCCTGCCAGGCTCAAAAGGAGGCCTCCTAGAGACAGAACTCTCTCTGACTGCTGGTTGAGGAAGACGTGCTGCTGAAAGAGACATGTGCTCCTGAGACATGCGCTGCTGGGAAAGGGATGCAAGAGACAGGCATTGCTGAGTGAGACACTGAGGGACACACACTGCCGGGAGAGAGACTGTGAGAGACTGTTGGCTGAGGGACGGTGGGCTGGGAGAGAGACTGAGTGTTCTTCCTGAACTTGAATTGTAGTCTGGTGCTTCCCTAATAAACCCCATAATCTGTGAGCTCTGTGTGGCCACTGCAGCAAATTATCAAACCCAGGAGAGAGGTGGTGGTGCTTTGGGAGGAGCAGTTGGAGAAAGGGCTGGAGGGAGGCAGCCTGTCTGGCCTTGCAGTAATAGGCCTTGGGTTACTGCTGGTAATCCTGTCTTTCTCTTGTGGGATTAGAGGAGGTCAGAACATGTGGCCTCCTTGCTGTTTTTGCAGTATGGTATGGTTATACTGAGTCTGCACAGTACCGTAAAAGAAATTATCAAACATACTTCTAATAGTCACGTATTCGACATGTTTCCATCAGAAAACCAAAACAATCAAATTCTCCACTTGAGAATCTACATTTACTTGCCAGAGCCTTAGAATTACCTTTGTTTCAGATTGATCCATGATGACTTCAAGTACTCAGTGGTTTCTTTCACATTCCTTGTGTCATCACTATCATATTCTTCCAGCAGTTTCTGCAGCACATTATCAAACGCCATTATGATACCATCACCAGGTCCCAGCTCCTGAAGCAATATCTAAAGGGCAATTTCAGGTGTAGTTGTTAGAGGTTGCTCAGTAACTGATATCACTACAACACGGGTACTTCCAGGAGGGTATAACATGTTTTAGACAGAAATACTGAAAGAAGAAAACAAATCATGGGACAAACTCTTGTATGTAAGCTAAACTATAATAATTCTAGAAGTGAAAACGAAAATGCCTTAAAAAGTGACACAGATATTGAAAGATTATCAGCTTTTCTTTTCGAGCTATTTTACTTCATACATCATTTATCTTTTCCATTCCTTCTGCTAAACATCTGCCCCTTACAGAAAGTTCAGTTAAAGCAGAATAAACTTATTATAGTTGGTGCTGTTAACTGCCATTGAGTCAGCACTGACGCATGCCAACCTTTTTTTTTTTAATAACAGAACAAAGCTCTGTTCCTGCACCACCTTCACGGTCTTTGGTATGCTGGAGACTTTTGCTGCAGCCATTGTTGTTGTTGTTGCTGTTGTTATGTGCTGTCAAGTCGAACCCGACTCACAGCGACCCCTCCTTGGGTTTCCAAGGAGGTATCACTATGGAAATAGATTGTCCAACCTTCCTTCCGAGGAGTGGCTGGTGGGTTTGAACCGCCAGCCTTCTGGTTAGCAGTCAAATGTCTTAGGCACTAACCTAGGGGCTCATCCTCCAGCACCATACTGAACAATACTCTGTTGTGATCCATGGGGTTTTCATCGGCTAATTTAAAATCAGAAGTGGATTTCCAGCCTTTCCTTCTTACTCTGACAGTCTGGAAGCTCCACTGAAACCTGTCCACCATGGGATCCTGCTGGTACTTGAAATACCAATGGCATAGCTTCCTCCATCATAGCGGCCTGCAAGCCACCACAGAACATCAAACTGACAGGTGGTGGAAGTCATCACTGTGTTATGACATTGAGACTACTGGAAATATTTTCCCTATCACTTGTAACTGCAATTCTATCACTAGAAATCTTTATCTTTGGATTTATATTTGTTTTTACTTGAAAAGGCACATTATGAAAAGATAAATGCTATTTGGTAGGCTATAATCCAGTGTTGGTATCAGCTACCATTTGGTAGGCTATAATCCAGTGTTGGTATCAGCTACCATTTGGTAGGCTATAATCCAGTGTTGGTATCAGCTACCATTCAGAGAATTTCATTAATTTATACTGGAAGTATAAATTAAAACAAGTCCCAGAAGAACTGAGAACCAGGAAATCAAAGGGCTCCAAAGGGAAACTGGGTGGTTGTCAAGATTACCATACATTCCCTTCCTGAGGATCCTCACTGACAAACTGAGAGACATGTGGTGGGAACTTCCTGTAGGACTCCTCTATATGTGTTAGAAGGAATAGGCAGGACTGACAATGGGAAAGTGGTGTGTCCCTTGCCCCGAATCATTGTGTATGTTTGCAAAATTAACTGTTAGGATGGATCAAACAGCCAACAAAGGTTATTAGGAGTTGCTTGAAGAGCTAAATTGATGCTCAGCATGTTAGTGGGCATTGGTTCCTTGACACAGTTTTTCAATCTCTAAGTCACTGGATCAAGATATTCCCCATGAAATCTAATTGGCAAGAGACCATAATGCTTTTCTGTAGCACTTGGAAGAAAAATCCACCCTAAACTTTCCAAAGAAAAGAATTACAATATTGATTAGGAAGAATATTCTGAGTATGATAATATAAGCTTTGATAATATTTTTATTGTATTCCTCTAGTTACGTTTCCAGGGACTTCGCTGACTATTACTTTTCAGTTATTTAATGGAAACAGCAGGTATCATAAACACAGAGAATGATCCAGGAAACCAACATGTTTGTCCATTTGCTTTTTTTATACTGTAACAGTGGCTACGGCACTTGACTGCTAACAACCAGAAGGCCAGCGGTTCAAATCCACCAGCCATTCCTCGGAAGGAAGATGGGGCAATCTACTTCCGTAGAGATACTGCCTCGGAAACCCAAGGAGGGGTCGCTATGAGTCGGGGCAGACTCGACGGCAAACAACAACAACAACAACCATGGAAAGTTAGATCTGTGAAGAACAGCAACATGCTTTCATGTTTAAGATTTTTTTTTGTTTCATATACTCTTTATTACAGGTTTCAAAAATGGACACTTTCATCTTAGGCTATCCAAAGGACACACAACTATTATACTAAAATATAATGTAACAATCATAATTTCCAACTCAAGAATATTTTCTAAAACTGGAGAGAGAGTTAAAATAGCCCTGTAAAGATACCATAACTGGAAAAAAAAATCATAAAGGTTCCATATCATCAACTCTATAATTAAACCAATCACAATAAAAAGGCACCTGCCATTATCTTACTGAATAAAATGGTTGGATAAGAAAGATATTACCTTATTTGTTCACTACAGTAGCCCTTGAATGAATGTCTCAGAAAATTTTACAAATAAAAAACAGTTTTCAGGATAGGGAAGGAAGGGAGCAAACGAAAATTCCAGGGATGCTGAGAATGTTGTCCTTCAGATTTAGGTTGAACAGGTGTGTTCAGTTTGCAAAACATCAACAAGCTAAACATTTAATATATATGCACAGCTCTGTATGTTACACTTCAATTTTTTTTTCCAAACAGTTTTCTTGGTCAAGTACTTCACATAAATTTCAATATGTATTCCACAAACTTGGGATAATATCATGCCAGGGGCTTAAAAGTTATAACGAACAAAAGGAAAGAAAGAAAAATGTGCATTAAATCAAATGATGTCAGAAAATAGCTAGCGAGTCTTACTTGGTTATCAGAAATTTGCTTGATAAGCGGATCCCTGCGGGCTTGCTGAAGAATATGCACTTGAGCCTCATACTTCCTGAGCAGCTCCTCGGCCTCTTCCCGGTGGTCATCCCACTGAAGACTGTCAATGACCATGGCCTCCAGCTGCTGCTGCCGGGACTGCACGCCATGCTGCGTGTTGTCCCACTGGCTCTGAACCTTGTCCACTGGGGGATGGAGGGTGATATGGAAAATAAACCCCAAAAGTAACTATCAGGAAAGGGAATAAATACCCGATACCAAACTTACCATGAATAAGTCTATAAACAGAAAAGAGAAAGGTAGTAAATTGGCACACGCACTTTAAAGCAATTTTGAGACATGTTCACCATACTACACAAACTGATAAGACTTCTGAACCCTTGCTTGAGAGAAAATCTTAGATTAAATTCTATTTCAAATGCACTTACATGTCTCACAGTAAAATCATCTGCCACTGTAAGGTGATAAAGAAAAAAATTATAAAGAAAAGCATTTCCTACCTAATTTTTTATACATTGAATCTAGTTTGATGAAGACAGTGTGTGGTGGTTATGTTTTTGTGTCAACTTGGTTGGGCCTGGTTGAGTGGCTGGGCAGCTGGTGGTAGTTATTCCCCATGATGAGACTGGCAATCAGCTCTACGGTGGGATCTACCACAAGCAGCTAAGTAGCTGCTTTAGGGATGTGGTCTGCTTCCCATATATAAGAAGCAGGTCTGGGAATAGTCTCTAGCCCATGGCGCACTTGGACCCTGCATGTAGCCATGTCATTGCTCATCAGCCTGCTATGCTCTGCCGACCTTGGGATTTACAATGGACTTAAATTAATGGCCTGCTGTGTGGTTTGGTAACATTGGGACTGTGCCATTTTATTCATCAACCTTGGGCTTCTCAGCCTCAGCAGCCAACAGCTGTCTGAATGAAGAAACGCCTCTAGCTTCAGTGGGCCAGGAGCTGGTGGCAGAGCTGAACCCCAAAGGCTGAGGGGCTTTCACCCAGCCCCTAGAACCTGGCACTTTGAACTTGGACTTAAAACCTCCAAACTATAAGAGAATAAACTCCTGTTTGTTCAGGCCATCCCATTTGTGGTATATTTCTTGTCAGAGTGTCACTAGGTAACCAGAACAGAGAGTTAAGAGTATTTTCTGACAGAACTTTAAGATGCAGACATAGTCATTTGTCATCCTCAAAGAAGATTTTCTAAGGCAGTCTTGATTTAAAAGAAAAAAAAAAAACCAAACTAAGGATACTTTTCACATTTGTTTTACTCTAGCTTGAAACCTCTCTAAAAACAAAAGTATTTTATTGTTCAAATCTAAGAAAAACACTGAAGAAAAACAGATTCTATGTAGTTAGCAGTTTTTCACTATAAAAATTCAGTAACAGCTCTTCTCTTCCCTGGTTTCTTCTTCTGCCACCTTCTCTCCTTTTTTTCTCTCTCTCTTCTTCTTTTCTCTACTTTTAACAGATAGAAAAGAAAGAGCTGAAGAAATGTAAGCTTTTGATTGATCACTTCAGGGACAGTTCATGATCTTCTAACAAACAAATAAATAATAGCTGTGAAAGCTTCAAGAGTCCAATGACAATAAGCAGATGGAAGATTAAAAATAGTTGCTAGAAGATGCTTTGGATGCAGAACAGACCGAAGTGTGTGGTTAAGTACTTGGCCCAAAAGAACTTAACTGCAAAATAACTTTCCAACTGAGTTAAAAGAGAATATTTTGGTAACAATTTTGGAATGATACAGGATTATATTAAACCATCATACTTGGGAGAGGCTCAGTGAAAAGGGGGAAGACGAGATGGACTGACACAGTGCCTGCAACGATGGGTTCAAGTATAGCAACAATTGTGAAGAGGATGCACCAGCCAGTGTCTTGCTCTGTTGTACACAGGGTCACTGTGAGTGGGAGCTGAGTCAACAGAAACTGACAACAATAATATATTAAGCCATGCAGTGACTGAATTACTACTCTTCAGAAAATTGTATTATACTTATGTGTGAAAATTCTTAAAAACTGTTCAGAGATAATCTACTTTATATATTATCTATCCTGTTTAATTGGTTAAATAAATTGCTTGAGTTTTTACCTGAACAAAATGAGAAGACAAAACTATCAAAATAGTTTACTTGCCAGTGAAAAAAATCACATGAAATACTTAAGACCATCTTGTTACAGAACTTAATAGAATCTTTTAATATTGAACAAATAAAACTAAAGATATCAAATAACACAAGAGGTTGATCATGAAAAACAAGTTATGTTAATCACAGTGAGTGCTAACACTCACTAACTGTTAAGGTGACACAGTAGTACATGTCACTGAGAATGATTTTATGTCTAGTGAGTAGGGACTATGTCTACACAATCTGTACACAAAGCATGGAAGGAAAACAAAAGAGTTATATTGGAAAGGGAAGATACTCAGAAGGAAAGTCTCGTAAAACACCTTAAAAGAAGTGTCGGACAAACATCTTAAAAGAAGTGCTGGACAAACAGAGGCATGGTGGGAAACAACAAAAGACCCAGTGCAAAAAAAAAAAAAACAAGACACAGATGGCTTTGCAAATACTTCGGCATCACTAAAGCGTAGCAAGAGCATGGGCTCAAGCAAAGCAAAGACTGTTTGGATGGTGCAGGGCCAGGCAGCGTTCGTTCTGTTGTACATGGGGTACGTGTACATGGCGTCATTATGAGTCAGAACCAACTCGATGGTCCCTAACAACAACAGAGCAGAGAGGTTCCCTGCCCGATGGGGGAGTGAATTGCTCCCGAGCTCCCTCATAGGCACAATCAGGCAATTAAGAACAAGAGGGAGAAAGAAGGAGAACACCTTATTTACTGAAAATACCCCATTTCAGACATTAAAAATTCTTTGCTAACTCCACTCCTAAGACCAAAGAAACCTTTTTGCCACCACGTCTTTTCTGATATCAAAATACACATTTTACAGGGGGAATAGTTGACTTTCTTGTCTTCAGAAAGGTTGTAAATGTTACAAACAAACATTTATTCTTTCAGTTTATGCTCTACCACAAATATTTATTAAGTAACTCATTTGGACAAGGTACTGTGGAAGACCCCAGGGACAGAAAGGTGAATATTCACAAGCTACAGGGGGAAAAAGAATTAAAGTAGCTATGAGATCTAAAATGAAGTTATGACAGGAAAAAAAAGGCCAGAGTCGGAACTGAAGATAGAAATTCAGTTCACCAAGGACCAGAAGTGGGTTGGAAAGGCTCCACACAGGGGGTGACATTTAGCTGCTGGACAGAATCTCACCTGGGAAGAAAAAGCAAAAAGGAAAGGAACATAGTGGATAAAGGCAAGAAGGCTAGGAAATGTCTGAACGTTTTAAAGAGTATGTATAGTGCAAAATGGTTGCAGATGGGGCCAAAGGCTATAGTGAGAGAAAGGAGCAGGAAAGCAGATCAGGGTAGATTGTGACAGTCCCTAACTGCCATACTTAAGAGGCCAGGCTGCTTTGCACACCACACAGCCTTCACAGACACTGGTGAGTGGGAAGGTAAATTGCAAGCAGGAATCCTTGCTGCAATTTTTGTTTATTTTTTGTTTGCTTTATTTTGTCATTAGCATATCCCCAAATCAGTGGAGGCACACAGCATGCAGTAGCTAATGCATGAACATCTCTGCAACGAATGAACGAATTTTGAGAATCTCAGCTGAAGGGCATGGTATGATCATGTTGCAGTGAATAAATCAGAATGGTACCAAGAATGCACTCCTACAGGTTTCTCCAACTTTGTTTCTTTAGTTCCTTTAAACTTAGGATGAAAAAACCTCATATATATGTCATTACTTAAAAGTAACGATGCTAACACTTTAAGAAATTCACAAAGGAACTGTGACAACATTCACAAAAAAATAACACATCTTAAAAATAAGATAAAGCCATGTTTCAAAATTAAGAGTATCAAAAATACACATTTTTAATTGAATAGTCTTCGAAAATGTGTATGTTGCCAATTTCAGGGAAAGTGATTATTAAGATACACTTTGTTTTGTTTCTTTGCTTAACTTACGTTTTTCTGTGATTGCTGTTCGCACATCAGAACTGGAGGCTTTGTTTTTCAAATTCTGTGCCAATGTGAAAACATAATCCAGTTGAGGACGGCGCTGTTCTAAGTCAGCTTTTGTGATCTGTTCAGAAGAAATGGTGATTGAGATGATGTCAACAAACCAGAGGATAAGTACTAAGTAAAACCTGCATTGCTGACATCAAAAT